GGGTGCGGCTCAGTCATGTGATAGGCATCACATGTGAAACTCCCACCAAGGAACTCTGCGTAGATAGTTGCTCCTCTTTTCTGAAAACAAAGAAGAATACATATGTTCTCACAACTTGTTCCATAGCAAAAATAAAAAAGGCTTGAAGATAAGTTTCATTTGTGAATAATGAATACATGAGAAACACAGAATGAGAACAAGAATGGATGAGTTATATACCTTAGCATGCTCAAGTTCTTCCAATAGCAGAACTCCAGCTCCCTCTCCCATCACAAAACCATCTCGATTCTGTTATGCAATCAATATCAGGTTTACAAATAAGAAGAATATCCAAGCATAATACACATGTTTCTTCCCATTATCTTTCATTAAACTTTACAGACATGCACGGGAAATTCCTGTTGACAAAATCCATATACAGTGTCTCTAACATCCACCGCTGGTAATCAAGACTTATAAAACAATAGAAGGGTATTACAACATGGCAGTAGAAAAATGGAATAAAAGAGAGGACAGGATATTGTTGAAACGTACGCTATCCCAAGGACGTGAAGCTTTTGTGGGATCGTTATTCCTTTGTGAAAGAGCCCGGCATGCAACAAAACCTCCCAACCCTGCATTGGTAACATACGATAAGATTCATGTAGCTTAAAGTTCAAGGAGGGAATAATGTAAAATAGTAGAACGACTTTGCACCTATTGGAATAATAACAGCATCGGAGCCACCACAGAGCATTACATCCTGGAAGGTTTAGTGGAAAGACAGAAAAATGTCAAATAAATTAGAGCCAGAAGAAGTGTACCAAACCGTCGAATATCCAAGTGGATGGAGGATACTTACAGCTTCACCTTTAATAATGTGGTTTGCTGAATTCATAATGCAAAAGTTGCTTGTGGCACAAGCAGTTGAAATAGAATAGTTTGGCCCCATCCATCCCTTACATATGACCACAAAGAAAGGTCAGTACAAAATTGTTGGTGGTCGTCCATATTATATTACATAGGATCCAAATTTAATCAGACCAGATCCATAGCAAGCATAGCAGAACCCATGTTCGTTGTCGCAAAAGGTACACAAAAAGGATTCATCTTCTTGTAAGAGATCTTCAGAGCTTCAATAGCGTCGTGAAAGACCTGTATCAATATTTTTATTGTTAGAGATGCAACGATTACAACGGAATTTCCAAACTTTGGCATCAATATTCATGCGACCCCTTTGCTAGTGAAAGCATGGTTGATATGAAGGAACAATAATAAGGTGAAATTCTGAACAGAGACCTCGAGCTGAAATTCTTTTCATAGTTTCTACATGTTTAAACACGAGATCAAGAAAGTACCTTCATGCCTCCCATTGCTGAGCCAATCAAAACTCCACATTTGGCTTTGTCAAACTCTGCCATTACTTCTTCAGTCATCCCACCATCAGCCAAAGCTTTCTTACCAGCTGTAAGAAGATAGAGCATGAACTTGTCCATCCTTTTCGAAAGTTTCGGAGCAACCCATCCTTCAGTCGAAAAGGATTTGATCTCTCCTGCAATTCTCTTGACAAAGGTAAAACAAGGAAAGACATTCAAGTACACTACACATAACGGCAAATGGAGAAATCCTGCATACCAAAAAGCGATATAATGCTTACCGTAGGAAACTCAGAACAATCAAAATTCTCAATCTGGCTAATACCACTGTTGCCTTGTAACAGATTCTCATAAAAGGTATCTGGGTCATGACCTAATGATGTTTCAACTCCCATGCCTGTCACAACAACCCGACGCTGCTCCACCGGGGGTTTCTTGTTAACCGCGGCTTCCTTTTCCATCTCCATCGCAACTGCCATGGCTCCACCTAAAAACCAGAAAGACATTATCGTTGATTGATAGATTAACTTAACTAGCTACTATCCAGAAACCACATCTCAACCACATCAACTTCAAAATATATATATATATGTCACCGCCATTTGTTAAAGTTTCCAAGCTCTGTATCCTCATTCCTCATACAGAGTCTAACCTCACAAAATGAGCCTTGAGATGACTCGCATAATACATCAAAAATCACAATAAAAATTCCAACTTTACATTTTAGTTTCAGCTTGAGATTACAAATCAGTAGCTTTCCCGTTCAACAAGACCTCTAAACTTCATCATTGGCTCACTAACATAAAACCCACTAACGAGAAACTCCACATACATGAAACTATGACGAAAAAAACGAAGCTTTATCAACTTGCAAGCAAAACACAGAAGATTAAAACCAATGAAAAACCCCCAGATTGGAGAAAAAATGTCAATACCGGAAGTAGAAGCAGCTCGATTCAATCTCCTCTGGTTTCGATTCAAAGAAACAGTATTCGATCCAAAGAGAGAAGACAAGGCA